TACTTGGCAGTACACTCTACAAATGTAAGCAGCAATTGCTGGTGGCATCATTCTGTCCTTTCCTCCTCTGCTGAATGTGTCTAGTATTTGAATACGTCCACACAGTGATGACCATATAAATTATCTATGTGAATAGCTTATTATTTTTAGTTTTGGTCAGAAAATAAACTCCTCTAAATTTGGGAATTTTCCCAAATGCACTCCTGTTTTGTCTCATCACACAACACACTTTTTTTACCCTCTCATATGTTTTGCTAATGGCTAAAAAAATAGATTATGTTGAAGTGCCCGACTTTTTCTAGCTGACGTCCTGATCCCCTCCCCTAGTCACACCTGAAGCAGCAAGTGCAGCAGGAGGCACGAGAGGAAGAGGTAATAAAGCCCGTCTCTGTTTCCAGCCCCCTTGTGAGGGCTGCAAGAGAATGAAGGCAAATGCTAGGAGGCCAGATGTGGTGGGAGGAGGAGGAGGGGCCTAGAGCAGATGGCGCCTGCGGGATGGCCCAGAAAGGGGAGTATCTCCAGTTTACAGATGAAGGATAGTGGATTGCACCAGGGTTCGTGTTTGGAAAGAATGCCTACCTGGTTGTTCCAAGTCAGTTTGTATTTTTGCCTTTTATCTGTTGTGTCACAGGGCTGCAAGTTTATGAATGTAAGTGAAAGAAGCAAATTTTTCTTTTGTGTTGGTAGTACTAGGGGTTGAACACAGAGCCTGATGTAGGTTAGACAAGCATCGTAGAGCTGATGTATGTCTCCAGTTTTTCTAAAAGCTTTTATTTTGAGACAGGGTCTTGGGGCTGGGGAGATAGCTCAGTAGAATAAGCGCTTGCCTGGCAAGTACAAGGGCCTGACTTCAATCCTTGGTAAGACAGGGTCTGCTAAATTGCCCAGGCTGGCCTTGAACTTTTAATCTTTGTGCCTCACTCAGCCTCCTGCAGAACTGAAATAAGGAAAACCATCTTATTTTTCACCAGTACACTGAAAATTGTTAAATTACAGTGCTAACATCTTTTCATAAAATGTGCATTACAGGTTAAGGCTGATGTCGTATGCTTCTTTACCTGGTTGACTCCCTGTTTTTTTTTTCCTGTTCTTTCAAGATGCTTCTTTTTTTTTTCTTCTTTTAATTAATATAGATCAGCTAAAAATGAGAAACATAATATTTTTACACTGTCATGTAATTTAAAGATACCTATACGCCATATACTCCAGAGATGAAAATTGTCTTTGCATAAATAAAAATCTATTTTGTGCAGTGTATTGAGTATATCAAAGTAAATTATCTTTTTTTCCTCTGAAGAATAAAAAGGAGGCATTTTATTAACTAGGTAAATGAATAGGGATGACTGAATATTGATCTATACATAATAACAATATTCACATTATAAATATCTTCATATATCTTTCCAAGGCAGCTATGCTCAACACTATACCACCAGTGCTAACATCTTCATACATCTTTGAATGGGCATATAAAACTTCACTGTCACCTGTACAGCTCTTTTTCTTAATTGTTGAGCATTTCCTAGCCTCTGCCTTTCTCTGCCTCTTTGGTTCTGTCTGTCTTACATTCTTGCACAAAGGTTCTTGCACATCAATGTGAGTATGCAGACTGAGATCACGGATGTTTCGTTTTATTTTATTTTTTAAATTTTTTCCATAATTTTATTGAGAGACATATAGCAATGAGACAGTTTCAAATCAAATTAGTAGGACAGTTTCAATAATTAACATATTGCATACTCTCTTCCTAGTGGTTATTTGCTGTACAAGATGCAGACTTGATATCCTATTTACAAACACCATTAGAACAAATCCCTCTATTCATTAAGAGAATGTAACTATAAATCTAACCTAACCATTTTGAATACACAGATACAAAATGGACATTCATCTGTATCCCCTTATTTGTTTAGTTCCATCATTTGGATATTATAGGTGTGTTAACTCAGCAAAATATTCTAAAAGAGTCCAGTAGTCCATAGTAGTATTGGGTCTTCCACTTGGCTGGCAATGTCAGAAATTGTTGACCTGAGTCCCCTACAGCTCAACATAACACCATGGCTTTACTTCTTATACTTCGTTTTTATACTTTTCTGCTGGATGGTTAGGACCAAGATAAAGCAAGACCTATGCAACAAGAGTTGTAGCTTTTGGGTCTGAGAAGGTCAGTGAAATCCCCTCATTATTTATCCTGAGATCCTGTACCTCAGATTGTAGATCCTTTGTCAGTGTCAGTCATGTGGATGAGTCATGGCCATTGCTTGGCCAATATGCTCTCTGTGAAAGCCTGAGAGAATGTTTTCTCTCCGGGTGACTCTCCTTAAGCACACTCTACATCATCGATCACTTTCCTCTTTGGCCCCATAATCTCCTTGATCAGAAAATTTGGGACACAACTGAGTTACATGATGTTACAGTACAAGTTCTCATATGTCCTGAGTCTTAATTGACCTTGGAAGGCTAGAACCTGAATGTTGGCTTTCCTTGCGGCCCTCCTTTTTCTCTAATTTTTGGTCTGTAAACTTAGGTTGTTAACCCTCCAGAAGAGAAGCTTATTGTTATTACCATACAACCTAGGCTGTTAAGCTTAACCTCACTATGTGTCTGAATATCAAACATGTTAGGCATAACATGGAACAGGTATTTTTCATCAAGTATTGATATGTTGAACTTTAAGTCCCTACAAAATATGATGGAAAAACATTTAAAAAATTAAAATATATTTTAAAATAGGCATAAAGAATTATATAATTCTTATGTTTACACATAAATCCATAAATCTAACCATATACAGCCTTGAAGCAGGATAGTCCCACAACATTCCTTTTCCTGTCTCCTGCCTTCATTTACCACCCCCTTCTTTTTGAACAATCATCTACCCGAGACACAGCACGGCAGCAACTGGCATGTCATGACAAGCAGCCTGTATTCAGAAGACCAGAATGACAGGCACTTCAAGCATGAACCTACTATTACAAATTGCCATCTTCAGTGCCGTTGCTTTGTTCACAAGTGTCTGTATATATAGTTAGTCAGGGTGAGAATCATTCCAGTTAACTGCTTGATTCAGAAATCTTCTGAAGATTCTCAGGATCATTGTCTCACCCATCTTCTACATATAACTGTATGGCTTGCCCCTGGAAGTAAGTTTTGTTAACAAGGCCCTAAAATCTATTCTTTTGTTTGATGTGTAGTTATATATCACCTAAATTACAGAGTGCACAAAATTTGATTCCTACCTTTCAGTGAATATTATTCTATTATTTATCTCAAGGGCCAAGAGGCTAAACCAAATTCATTAAAATGTTGTATGTAAAAACTTAAACTTCTTTTGTGTGTGGGATACTGGGAATCCAACTACAGAACTTGCGCTTGCCAGGCATGCACTGTGCCATTGAGCTATCTCTCTGGCCTTACATACTTAAACTTTAAGTCACTTTTATTAAGCAGGCATTTCAATTTTAGTTTAGCTGGGCAAGTCATAAAATTTATGTCACCTCAATCACAGGGTATGATTCATTATTTTGTTTCAAGTTAGTGTTCTGCCTTTGGTAGGGAAAAGGTGAATAGTGAGTTATTGATGATTAGGGCTAAAGGAATCATTTGGAAGAAATCCTTATATAACGTTATCACAGATTAAATTGCCTAATGGGACAAATCTGGTGGTTACTGATGTCTTTTTATTTCTTGACAAATGACATCAACAGTAATTCATTTGCAGGCGTACATGTATTTTGTGAGGTTTAACCTCAAAATAATTAAGAATATGAGCATATCACAGGTACACAGTCATCATCCAAAAAATGATTGTCAAAGTTAACTTAGATAAGGCTGAAGTGACTTTCTTGATTAATTATAAACTATTTCTAGGGCCAGGGAGATAGTTGAGTGGCTTAAGCACCAGGTAGAAGCAAAGTCCTAAAAGTGCAATCCCTAATACCAAAAAAAAGTACATAAACTGTTTCTAAATGCAAGTTTTAAAAAAATTGGATTGCCCAGGTAAAACAGACCATACCCAGAGACTTTTATGCAAATAGGTACGGCAGCATTATTTTCCATAGCTGAAAACTGGGAACAACCTAATGCCTATTAGCTGGTGAGTGAAGGTGATTCGTACAGTGGTACATTCATGCAGTGGGACAACGCTCAGCAGTAAGCCAGATCCAACTACTCATACTTCAGCCTGGTTGCCTCTCAAAAACATCATGCTACATGAAGGAAATTAAACACAAACGACTACATACTGTGTGATTCCATTTAAAATTGGAATTCTGGGACCTGGGGAGACAGCTCAGCAGTCTAATTGCCTGCCTGGTAAGTACAAGCATCAGGGTTCAATTCTTGGAACCAGATGCTGTGCCAGCCACCGAAATTGGGGGTGGTGGCGCATGACCATAATCCCAGTGCTGGGAAGGCTGAGACAGGAGGATCCCTGCGAATCCCAACTGTGTAAAGAGATCCTGAAATTAAATAAATAAATAAATAAATAAATAAATAAATGATTTAAAAATTTTTAAATTGCAATTCTGGAAAAGGTAAAACTACAGAAACAGGAAGCAGATCCATTGCTGCCAGGGCCTAGGGTGAGAAGAAAGAATTAAGTATAAAGGAACTGAAGGTATTTTTTCTTGAGGATGTTGGAAATGTTCTATATGATTATTTCAGTGATGATTATATGAACATGTGCTTTTACCAAAATATATCAAATTATACCCTTAAAATTGGTGACAACTATTATTTATAAATTACACCTAAAGTAAAAACAAGCAAACAAACAAGCCAGCATCTTGAATACAGAGTGGCGACTTCACCAAGGAAATAGCCCTTTTTAAACTTAATTTGGAAAGCCTATTGTTGAAACACACTAACAGCATTTATTTTTATGGCTTGCCTGTAGAAAATACTGGCCCTCAAAATGTGTTTGTCTTGAAAATAGTGAATGATCCACTTGGCTTTAATATCTCATTGCACTTCTGTTTTCTCTTCTCTGCCTGACCTAGAAAAACTAATTGAGGGACTCAAATCTCCTGATACTTCTCTTCTGCTCCCTGACCTCTTGCCTATGACAGATCCTTTTGGTAGCACTTCCGATGCTGTAATTGGTAACGTCATTTTTGTTTCTTCTGCCATGCATGATAAGTTTGTATATTTCAGATTGATAAGCAGATGGTTAGCAGATCCCTAGTGAACAGAACCAGGAAGGAGTGGACCGTACTGCGCCTCCTGGTGTTGGAGCTGTGCCTCATGCAAGCCCAGAAGCCAACACTTGAACTTCTTTGCTTTCTGTGGGCACAACAGTGTAAATTTTGCCTTTTGGATTAGTCTGTAATTTCCAATGAGATGGAAAAATTCACATTTAATGATAAAAGCTTCACTTAAAAATTTGGTTCATAGCCAGGCATGGTGGCACACACCTATAAACTCCAGGAGTATGAGGCAGCAGGGTTGTAAGTTTGAGACCTGCCTGGGCAACTTAGCAGCTTAACGTTTTCCCATACTCCAAGAAGACTGGCAAAATCCAAGGCCTCTCTACTCTAAGAGGGCCCATTGATTTTGGACAAATAGTCCTACCACTCAGAAATGCCAGGACCATCCAGAAAGGCCACCAACCAAAAGACGTCACAGAGTACAGAATCTCTCCCAGGCAGGTGCTTTGTGAGATGGTGTTTCGGATAGAGTAGAGGCTTTGCATTAGATTAGAGGATGGATTAGAAGATCTTTACTCCAGATTTATTCCTAAAGAACAGCAAATTTACAAGAAGAAGTTAAGGTGCCTTTCACCCAATCTCTTTTGACATGGAGATTTGCTGTTTGAAGGTGGCTTGTGTATACTTACCTAGCAGGGGAGATACCATGATGATGAAAGTGGCTTGTGTTCCGTATGTGTCTGTAACAACCGATCGCCAAATTGGCCGTGGGGGTCAGCCTTGCACGTGCACGTCTGAACAGTGAAACCTGGACACTCAAAGCAGCAGAAATACAGTCACTTAACTGTGCTTTCTACCTGTCCTGTGGCGGCATTTTAGAAATTGTCTGAAGAACCTTCTGATGTCCTCTCCCTTACCCTTTCCTCTCCTTTGTTAATGCCTATTGTAAAAGAAAAAGCTGATGTTGCTGTTGAGAGTCTCATACCAGGACTGGAGCCCCCAGTTGCCCAGCGCCTCCCATCTCAGACGGAGTCTGTGACCTCGAACCGCACAGGTCAGTCAGGTGTCTGTGTCAGTAAGGGGACTGGTCACTGTGATCAGACCAGTCTTTCCGCCTGTGGCAGGTTATAGTCTTCAGTCTGCTTAGTTCTTCTTAGAGTAGATGCTCTGAATTCTTATAGACCCAGTTTTTAGATGCTGAATATACATTTCCTTTGAATACTTTTTGGAGCTATGTTCTTTTTAGAGTGACCAGGCCCTCCCCTGCTTAGAGAATTTCTTTATTCAGGATTTTCACTGGTGCTGGGGTCCTCCCTTCTACTTAATGAAAGGACTCTGCTGAGCTGTGAGGCTGCTTTGATTCCTCCAGGGTGCTAAGTAGGCTTTCCCTGGCACCTTCAGTGCTAGCTGTGGAGCCCATTTCACCTCATGTTGACATTCTTTTCCCAGCATAGCACTTTAATCATGTAGAGGTGATTTTCCCTTAAGTTGTAAGCAAAGTTGAAATCTTCCTTTGGTCCAATGTTGCCTTCACCTTAATTTCAAAATTCAATCTTAGAATTCCTTAACTTTCCAAAGAAATCAATTTGATAACCTTTATTTTTATTGAGGCATAATTACTTTAATAAAAGTGTTTGCTTATCCAACTTGGAACAGAAATAGTGGTCAAAAAAATGTTAGTGTAAATTTATCAAGGTGAAAAATTTTCCCCAACAGACAATATGATTCATTCTCCTCATCTTCACTTGGATGTTTTCTCCTAGAAAATCTAGAAAATAATCCCTGTTTAAAGCTTGGCCTCTGAATATTTGCTTTCATTCTCTAACTGAAAACAGATTATGTGTTCAAAGGAGAGATTCAAATTAGTAAGTACTAGAAAGAGGCATATTTACTGGAAATCTGATAGGTTTCTAGAAGATACTGTTTAATCTCTTCTGACATCCCTCCTAATCAGTTTTCAGTACTTCATCATACAATAATTTTCTTCCTGGGTATTTTGGGAAAGTTTAAATGAAACTCTGTAGCTTCAAAGTCCTTTTTCTCAAATGGCTTTTGCTAAGAAGTGAGTTGTTAAAACTTTTCTGCCATACAAATCTCGGACTTTTAAGAATTAACCTGTTGAGTTGAAAATTCTCTATATTTATATGTTAAGTGTAAGAAGAATCTAGAAAAATGTAAATGGATACCCAGAGAACTTAACACGTTTCTTCTGGTTTTTTCCCTCCTGCCTTTGTATATCTCCTGTATGTGCAATAATTGGAAAGCTAAGATCTAACCTCATGATGTTGTTGTATGTGTCATTTAATGCCGTCATTGACCTGGGATGCTGTTCACTGGACTCAGATTCTCTCACTGGGGAAGATTCTCTGCTTGACTGCTCTCTGCTTTCTAACCCTACTGCTGACCTTCTGGAAGAGTTTGCCCCCCTAGCAATCTCTGCTCCGGCCCATAAAGGTAAATTTTGCTTCTTGTCAGGTCTGTATGTGTCCCTGGAGAAAGCTGATCAGCTCCACAGTTTCCCTTACCTGAAGTCTTTTTTAGTACAATGTTTTAGTTACCTTCTTATATGGAAAACTTTTAAGTTTGTATTTTTAGCCACCATGTTGTAATAGCACTCAATATTTAATAAGCCTGAGAAAATAAAGTGGTGTAGATACTTCTTTTTGGCAAGAACTACAGTACAGCTATTCCACGTTACCTTTGAGAGCCATGAGTCTATGCTCTAAACTTGTGAACAAGTTTAGAATTTTACTTCATCTTTCAATCATAATTGGCATCTGGATTTCTCTTTCTAACCCACTACTTCACTTTTAGTCTGAGATTAATATTGGTTTGAAATTCTGTTGGACACAGATAGCTTTGAGTTACATCAGTAAGACTTTTGTGGCAGTGATAGGCACAGTGCCTGCCTGCTGTGTGCATACTTATTTCTGTGCTTGGACAGTCAAAGGCCTTTTCTGGAAGGAGAAAATGTATAGAAAAGAAAAGGTTGAAGCCTTTTTTGAAGGAAGTTCAAAAAAGGAGACTTCCAAGACATGAGTAAGAGTAATTAGGTCATGGTTTGTAGTGGTAATAGTTGAGTTTTTAGTTTTTACCCCAATATTGTTTGTATTTTTCTTTTTATAAATTTATGTTTTTATTTTGCACAACATTAATGTCAGTGTTCATCAAGAAATTGCACAGACACATGAGGGAAAGAGATAAATTACCTTCATGGAACTAAATTCTTTTCCATTGTGAGGCAATTGGCTAAATAAAATACCATTCAACCACTCATTCAAATGCAAGTATGTATTAAAGAACTCAATTTTCTTTTTTTTTCCATAATTTTATTGAGAAACAAATAGCAATGAGACAGTTTCAAACCAAATTGGTAGGACAGTTTCAATAATTAACACATTGCATACATTCTTCCTAGTGGTTAATTGCTGTACAAGATACGGACATGATATCCTATTTACAAACACCATTAGAACAAATCACTCTATTCATTAAGAGAATGTAACTATATATCTATCCTAACCTCTTTGAATACACAGATACAAAATGAACATTCATCTTTATCCCCCTTTTTTTGTTAAGTTCCGTTATTTGAATATTATAGGTATATTAACTCAGCAAAATATTCTAAAAGGGTCCAGTAGCCCATAATAGTGTCTTCCACTTGACTGGCAATGTCAGAAATTGTTGACCTGAGTCCCCTACAGCTCAACATAACAACATGGCTTTACTTCTTATACTTCTTTTTTATACTTTCCTGCTGGATGGTTAAGACCAAGGTAAAGCAGGACCTATGCAACAAGAGTTGTAGCTTTTGGGTCTGATAAGGTCAGTGAAATCCCCTCAGGATTTATCCTGAGATCCTGTACCTCAGATTGTAGAACCTTTGTCAGTGTCAGCCATGTGGATGAGTCATGGCCATTGCTTGGCCAATGTGCTCTCTGTGAAAGCCTGAGAGAATGCTTTCTCTCCATGTGACTCTCCTTAGGCCCACTTTACGTCATCGATCACTTTCCTCTTTGGCCCCATAATCTCCTTGATCAGAAAATTTGGGACACTACCAAGTTACATGATATTACAGTACAAGTTCTCATATGTCCTGAGTGTTAATTGACCTTGGAAGGCTAGGGCTAAAATGTTGGCTTACCTTTCAGCTCTCCTTTTTCTCTAATTTTGGTCTGCAAACTTAGGTTGTTAACCATCCAGAAGACAAGCTCCCAATATTGTTTTTAATAGAGTATGTAAAAGGAGTTAGTTAGACAATTCTGTGTGGCTGAAGTATGTCAGCAGCAGTATGTAGCTACAGGGAATCCTCACTTGCAAACTAGGTGCTCAGTTAGCACTTGCTGATAGGATAGCTTTAATTAATTTTAGTTTTTGTTTTTGTTTTTTGCGGAACCGGGGATTGAACTCAGGCCCTTGCGCTTGCCAGGCAAGCACTTACTCTACTGAGCTAACTCCCTGGCCCCTGGATAGCTTTAATTAAAATGGAGAAAATATTCTAATAATCTTCTGGTGTATGTGGCCTTGTGTCCCAACATTTCCTGAGGCTTCTGAGTTATTTGGAAGTCTTTTCTTTTTTGGAATTGACAGAGTGCTGAGTCCTCCATAGATATCTTGCTTTCTTTGTGTATATAAAGTGATTACTTCTCTTTTGTTGTTAATTTGGTTGGGTTTTTTTGTTTGTTTGTTTGTTTTTTGTGGTTGGTTAAGCTGGGAATTGAACCCCGGGACTCCTGCATGCCAACCACATGCTTCACTGAGCTATCCCCTGCCTTTGCAGAGGCTCTTCTTAAAGAACTGTTAGCTCTCCTCCTGTGTCTCAGCCCTGTGTTTGAGTGGGCTTCAACTCACTTAATAAAGAACACAAATAACTAATTCTCTGTCAGGTAATGACATTGAAGGGATACTTTATAATAATTACAGCTAATAATCATGTAAAGAGTAGAGAGAATTATTTAAAAAATCCTTCCTAATTACTTATGAAAGTGTTAAAATGCCTTAACTCTAAGGCACTTTTTTCTGTATCTCTGTATTTTCCAGTTTTGCTGCTTTTATTTCAACTCAGAAAAATAAGTGCTTTTACTTATAGGAAGACTAGTGATTGTATACAGTTGGGAACTTTGTACTTCTTTCCTGTTTTCTCATTTGCTAATCTCTGCCTCTGTTTCTGCTTGTGTGCGTGCATTCTGTATTAAGCTACAGAAGATAGTAATCTCATCTCAGGTTTCGATGTCCCTGAGGGCTCGGAAAAGGTGACAGAAGATGAGTTTGATCCTATTCCTGTATTGATAACCAAAAATCCACAAGGTAAGAAAGAGGTTGGGAAAAACATCAGCTCTCATGAAAAAGTAATGTACTTAATCTGCAAGGTGGAGTAGGCTGGCGGGGGTGGGGGTGGGGGTCAACATTTAGTAAAGAATACTAGGGACAGTGTCAGTCGTGGTAGGCTAGACCAGTATAGATAGAGATGAGATACTGATACAGGTATCTTAAAGCCTGATCCTGGTGTTTATTTAGAGAGAAATATTTAATAGTTTGGCTAAAAGGTAGTTTTTCCAAGGTATCAAGCCAAAAATAATCTTCAGTCTGTAAAAACTCAAAAATATGGATCAAAAGTATTTAACTTTTTTTTTTCATGATTAGAACAATCTGTGATAAATACTTTTCCCAAAGAGATTAAGTGGTGCCTTGGTATCAGCCACATCTTGTAGACATTTATGGAACATCCTTTTTCCTCTCTAATGGGTTAAAATCATTCGGACATACCATGAAACAACGAATTCCCATAGAACCATTTATTGAAAGTGCATTCTTATTGCAGAGTGTTACAAATTTTCCCCAAAGCAAAAAGTTGCTTTACTGGGGAGATGGCTTGATGTTAAGAATTAAGAAGCTAGTACACAGCCAGTTCTCAGGCAAAATATGGATTCGTTTGAAAACAGCATCAGCAAAAAAGAAAAAACAAAAACATCGTCATCTTTGCAAGACATCCTGCCTGTACTGTGGTGCGCGCAGTGTGCCTGAACCTCTTTGGGGGGAGGTGGCGTGTAGCTAATTTACCTATTTAAAGTTAACATGTACAAGTTTGCAAATGTAAAATGTTGCTTTTCTAGGTTTCTTTTTTTTTCTTCTCCTTTTTTCTCCTTTGCTTACTCTGCACATCTAAACCTGAATGCTCTGTATTTGTACTGAATTCCTATCTCTCCACTTCCAGGTGGGCACTCTAGAAACAGCAGTGGGAGCTCTGAGTCCAGTCTTCCCAACCTAGCCAGGTCTTTGCTGCTGGTGGATCAGCTCATAGACCTGTAGCGGTGACCCAGTAGCAGATGCAGTTCTGTAACCTTCATACCGTAATTCACATTTTCATTACGGAATTCTGAGAAAAATGATTTTTTTTTTAAAGTCTGCAGATAAGGGTCCCTCTGGCCCTTTTCTTCTACCCCTTGCCTTCTCCTATAGAAATGATAAGGAAAGAAAAAAAATCACTTTGGCCCTCCAGATATATTCCTTGGCCAGTTTCCCCCTGTTAGTTTGCTGTGTTTTCTCATTACCCTTCTTCAATAGCATTATCTTGAATCAAGCACTAGATGCCATGAGCTTCACTTCTGCTGGAATCGACTCCACCAAAAGCTTAACTGTAATTGAACCTAGTGAACTGACACCTTTGTCTCATTCTTGCTAGGAATGGCCTCCCAAATCAATCCTCCCAGCCCCTGTCTGCTTGGCCAGATGCTGATGAATGTGTTTCCCTGTTTTTGCTTTTTATTCTGATGCATTATCCTGAGGACAAGCCTACTTCCACTTGTTTTAACTCCAGGCAATAGTCTGGAAGTAGATGTGGGGTTTCTGAGAGGGTAAAACTGACTGATAGTATATATTGGTGAAGAGAAATTGAGCCCAGCTCTAGCCAATCAACTTTGACCTTGTTTGATCATAGACTTAGCCAAGGGATTTACACCCCATGCAACCTGCCCAGCATTCGTCCAGCTTTCTGGCCTCCATTGAATCGCGATTTCTCAGATCTGGAGACGTGACTGCAAGTACTTGAGATCCTTGGATAAAATGTGTATGTTATATATATAAATCCCAAGTATTGCTATTCCTTTTCATGTTACCTGGCTGAAGCCAGGCTCTCAGAATTAGACCAAAATAAGACAGTGGTGGAAATATGGTACCTTTTAATAGAAGACTTTTCACTGGGGGGTGGCTGGGGGAGGGGAAGGAATTGTAGCAGAAACAGATGTATTTTTCTTGTGATTTTTATTTTAAATCAAATATTGTAAATTGTGTACAAATGAAGACACTGAATAGTTCTGTTTCCACTTGGCGTTTCAAGTCTGATACCAGGTGTCTGTACAGGGTTTTGATCTCTTTCCCTTGTATAACCACACAGCTATCCTACAGTGTAACATATTGAATTATTTTGAGTAGATTGTGTGTTGATATAAGCTGTCAGCAGGTCCTCTGTCTCTGTAGAAGAAGCATGTTGTTTATTTTCAGATAACCAGAAAAAATGTGCTGACAAGCTGGACACAAATTGACTGTGGCTGCATACTTTTTTCTCTCTATGATGTTTAAGTTGAAGGCTGCAGTCAGTAGAATGTGTTCAGTTGGTTTTCCTTGGCTTCTTAGATTTTAAAAAGCCGAACAAAGCATAGTTCTTCACTAACCTTAGAGTATTGTTCATAAAGTAAATAAAGGTCCCTGCACTGACATGACAACATGCCTATGGTCACCCTCTGTGTATGTACTTATTCATCAAAGTGTATTTTATTTCTTTACTTGGAAAGCACTTTTATAAGATCATCCTTTTGAGAAAGAAGTGGGCACGGAGAATCTCATTGTTCTCTTCCTTGAGTGCCATTGTCTGTGATCAAAAGGGAAAGTCTTAGTTGATCGGGTTTGTACAAATAAAATTCCAAGTCCATTTGCTTGTTTTCTACCTAGTACTTTTGTTTTTTCTTCTTCCTCACATTTGCACTTTAACAGGGGAGGGAGGAGTTGACGGCAAAAAAAGGCTGCCAACACTGCATGTGAGAGCAGCCTGCCCAAGGCACCGGAGGACAAGTCTGAGTCTTTCGGTCTTCCTTCTGACTTTCAGTACTTCCTGTGCCAGCTAAAAGTTGATGAGCTAAGTGAAGGCCTCTGCTAAGAGAACAGATCATTCCCAAAGCTGAGAGAAGCAGCTTTCACTGAGAGAAAAGATGTCTGTGAAAAGCTCTGTGTGATTGGACGTAGGATTTGGTTCACTTCTTATGGACAGGAAAGTTACTGCAGATCAGAACCGTATTCTCTTTGCTGGACATAGAATGTATAAGCTAATGCAAGAAATATTTATTTTTAAATAAGAATATTTTAATTCAGTGTTTTCATATTTGATTTTTCTTCATACATAAAATGTTAGAAATATAAAATATCTAGTTTCTTAATTTAATTGAAGCCATGAAAAGTACAGTTTAGAAATTAGGTGTCTCTAAATTGTTCCTTTCATGTATTATCTGTTATTACATTGAGATATATTATCTAGTAACTTTAGCTCAATAAAGCTTATTAGAGACAGTTAATGAAAATGAACTGACTAGAGCCAGAGACATTAAAGAAGCCTGAGGAAGATAATGACTAGAAAATGTGTCAGACTTATTATTTAGGAGAGAAGCCTCTAGGATAGAACTACTATTCTGTGGAGGAATACTTGTAAGTTATTAGTGCATTAGTAAGAGGTAGCCCTATTGACTGAGCCACAAGAGGGACCCTTGGAGACCATCTGCTTCATTTTACAGGTGCGGCCCCTGATTAACCTTAAAGTATGGTGATGAGAGAAAAAGCCTGGGCACCTGGTGTCTAATCCTTGCCAGGCACTTCATCTCTGGGAGCTGCTGTTACTTACTTATACAACAATAGGTTTGGACTAGATGGCCTTTAAAATTATAGAAGTGTAGTCCTAAATTTATATCATATGTTTAGAGGAACTATGAAGGATTTATATAATTCTGATGTTCTTCAGATGTCTTCTGTACACCTGCTATTACTAGAGCAGCATTTATGTGCTAGTGAATTATAATGAGCTTCTCGCTAACCTGGTTGGTCTTTCTTAGCTATCTGCAAAGAAGGCTAAGTCATCACAGAGTTTTGGATTATAGATTTTCATTTTCTCATATTATGCATGCGTGCATAGACACACACAGCTACCTACCTATTCCAGAAAGACAGTATCAGAGGATTTCTATTCTTTAAAATGTATGATTAAAAAACAGTATGAACAGGGATCTATCATTAAAATGTGAGAAAATACCATATTCATATATTTTTATTTGCTTTTATCCCAACTGTGAGAATAACTATACCAGAAAACATCATAAATTTTTCTCCCTGAACCAGGGATATGGGCTGGGACATGGCTTGTGCTCATACATTTTTGTATTTAAAGGATTAAAAAAATCAATGATGCCAAAAAAAAAAAAAAAAAAAAAAAAAAAAAAAAAAAAAAAAAAATGTATTCAGTACAGGATCTCAAAAAAAAAAAATTCTTTTTCTCCCTCACATTTGAATAATGAGATCACCAAATCCAATTCCTTATTTATTTATTTGTTTAGAGATAGGGTTTCACTATGGAGTTCAGGCTGGCCTCAAACTCACTTTCTAGCCCAGGCTGGACTCAAACTCACAACAATTCTTCTGCCTCATCCTCCCAAGTGCTGGGATTACAGACATGGGCCCCCCACCTAGCTCAAGTCCCAGTGTTTTTTTTTAAAGTCCTCAGAGAAAATAAAGTTTAAATATGCACTTCCTTGTAATTATTTCTTTACCAGACATATCAAAATTTTGACATCAAGTTGAATATTGTTCCATTCAAAAGTACCTAGTCTTACTTTGAAAGTTGATACGTATCCTGATAATACTGCTGCATTAAAGTTATTTTTGAAATTCCTCTTCTTAGAAATAACGTCAAGGAGGGAAGTAAGGTAGAAGAAAATCAGTTGCATTATCTAATTAGTATCACTTTTAGTATCTGACAGTAGATTGTTTTTCTTTCTTTCTTTCTTTTTTTTTTTTTTTTTTTTTTGCGGAACCGGGGATTGAACTCAGATCCTTGAGTTTGCTGGTCAAGCACTTATCCTACTGAGCCATCTCCCCGGCCCTAGATTGTTTTTCTTGATCCATTTATTTCACCAACCCTGTTTCTGAGTAAAATTTAGCTATTTCCAAAAAGTAAAATCACCCCAGTAAGATGGAGGGTAGTTACTATTGATAGTGGTAAAAGGAGAGGATCCCACAGAAAATTCCCAGAGAGGACATGATTGGTCTTA